TTCTCTCTTTCGCATCTCGTCTCGTCTTGTATACTCTCGTCTCGTTTCGTCTTTATACGGAGTATGGTGTACCTATAATAATGTGTACAAGCATACCGTTGATATACACCGTGAGTTGATCCCCCATGACAGCGCACCCAGGAGACGCACAAGCGGGACACACATCCCCCTTTGACGCAACTTTCATCAAATGATCTGTGGAATCGCGTCGGAATCAATTATCGATATTCGTATCAATGTAGTAGTACTCGAGAGAAAGTACCGATGGACATACTCTTATGGCCCTATAATCAAATTTATTCTCGTACACAAAAAACATAATTGGACAAAGTCTTTGTATATCCGAGAATAATTATTCACTTTGTAATGTTTGCCATGTGTGTTGTGTAATTGCGTATTAACAAACAAACTTTATTACGCTAACTTTTACGATCCGAATCGACGAATCGTATCGCGCAGCTAATCTTTTATCAAATCAGGTTGATACTTATCAAGTTTATCTTTAATTGCCATCCGATATTCTCTCAACATGCCTTAACAGATAATAAGCTTCAGATATATACGTCTTCGATAATATTTGTATGAAAATTTTTCTTATACTGATTATTTTTAGATGCATTTCAAAATTTGCCGCTCACAGCAACTTTATAGCTTAAAAACAAGAGAAAATATATGCTACAAATTTTATAAACCTTTACAAATATTTAGACGTTATTGTCGTATCGTTGTAAGACGTACCCAATATAAAAAATTTTATTTTACATTTTACAAAAGTTTCCGTACCTCTATACTCTTCAAAATAATTATAAATAAGTGTAAATTAATTTAGTTTAGACCAATTAATTACAAATAAAAATGCATTAAAAATGTAATTTTAATAACTTATATATGCATAATACATCTTTCTTAAAGGAATCAAGAAATAAGGGAAATGAGTGATAGGCTTTTACTTTATATATATAAATTTTAGTTAGAGCCGTTTAATATTTGATATATATATATATATATATATATATATATATATATTAATGTCGAATTTATCACAGAATTTATTGAATAAGAAATATCTCATTCATATTAGTGATTTCTATATTAATATAAAAACCTTATATATAGGTATATACAGAGTGTCTCTGATAAGTGTCCACCCCTTTTTATTTCGTAAACTACAACAGATTTAATCCTAATAAATATAATATCAAATTAAACGGCTCTAAATAAACTTTATTGTAAGCACAGTGCTCACTTAAAAATATTATCTATGTTAGAGAGCGGAAAGACATGATTAATTTTTGCACGGTAAAGATCGGAAGAGCACACG